CGACCCCAATTTAGACTTTAACAAGCATATTATTTTTATGCATAACAAGCTAGATGTTGTGACGGCCCTTTGGAGTGAGGGAACGGTGAGGAGGCACAAACAAATCATCACGGCCTGCGAAGAATGGTGCTGCGAGGAGTGACCTTGGGATCTGGCCGACGCTTAACACTTAAGGGAAAGGCGAGACGGATTTACAGACTGTTACCAGTGCCGCCAGAATTATAACAATGTGCTTGTTGCTGACGATAGGCAGGGGACGGAGAGCTTATGGTAATTTTTTAATTCCTGTGATGTCAATTCTTAATTCAACATTCAGAAACTTCCTTAGTTTTGTTTTGTTTTTTTGGGTTTTATAAATAGTTTAAAACATATTATATTACTAAACTGAACAAAATGTTAATATAACGGATTATAACAAGTACAAATGCACTCATTTTCAAAACTGCTCAACACCCCCTTCCCCCTTTCCCCGCAACTTAAGGGGGCGCCCGCCAGGTTGGAGACCACTGCTATAAAGGATCTACCACATGGTGATGATGATGATGGTGATGTTGAGCTGTCAAGCAAATTAACCAAAATCAAGGACTATACTGTGCTGTGTGACAGCATATGTGGCATACAGAATCAGTAAGATACTGACAAAAGCAGTTGGTTTCCTGATTTGCATGTAATGTAAAAGACCACAAAATATTATACTGAAAGACAAATTATATTTCACAGGACACACTGATAAAGCAAGCTGGTTGGGTGTGAGATAGAAAATAAAACTATATTTAAGCAGATCAAGTGAGTAAATCATTAAGCATGGCACACAACAAAGGGGAATACTACTATTACAAACAAGCAACTACTATATTAATACACGTTTCATTTTTAAAACAAGAGCAAATCATGAACATTTATATTAAAATAGTTAACATCTACTGTAAACTGTAGCAGACAAGTTGAGCTCAAGATTTTTAGCTCCAAATTCTGAATTAAGCCTGTATCGACATAGCGCATTTTATACCTGCCATAACTTTTTCTTTTACTGCGTTCATCCAAAAATGTAAATGTGTTGTGCCCATTTACAACATGGCTGCGATATTTGCGCCTTTCTGCTGACACACCCAGCATCAGCAAGCATTTGTTGTCCAGGTTAGCTTCTTAAATACCTGTCATATAAGCTGATCCTAGTGTCTAAAAGGTTGTTTAAAGCTTGAAAATTCTACTTATATGCCACAATTTAAGGCATTCCAGAATAAACTTTATAAAAAAAAAAGACAAGTAACAAAAATAAAATAGGAAAAATAATAAAAATAAAAAGAAGATAATATAAAACATATAAACACCATCTAGCAAATGTATGACAAAACTTGAAGCAGTAATCAAATAAATACAACATGACTCACAGATTCTAAAAGCTCCAAAACACCACCAACAACAAATAATATTACAATAATCACCCCCATAAAGGTTAGACAAAAGAACTGTTTTCAAGTGCATCATTTGGTAACCATTATTTTGTTTTGGATGAAATTTCTAAAACAACACAAAAACTTTTTTTTAAGTTAATCCCCTTGGCACCCAATGTAAAGTATTTAAATATTCTCAGCTTATTCTATATCCAAATTATTAGAGGAACCCTCAGAACAAACCACCCAAACACCCCCAAATCAAACACCCACAAACATCCATTGATGTCATGATCAACAAGTACCATGCTGTGTGTCATAGATGATTACGCTTCTCATCTCCAACATCATATATAAACTAAAGCCCTGACATATTTCTGTAACATGACAAAAGACCATCTACAGTCTACTCTCACTGTATTCTTATGTTTGTTTCCATAAATCTTGCCAGTAGTCACAACAAGCTCCAGTTTTTCTCTTCCCAAAATGTCAGCACTAAAATTATAAATGTCTCTTTCTGATTTTGGTGACAAGTTGTCTTTGCTCTTAACCTATTTTAAACATTTATATTACTTATTCTGGCTGTCAACTGAGTTTTCAGCATTCTTTGATATAATCATATCTCTGACGTTTCAAAAGATTTGTTGCTAACTGTCTAGGATATACAATCATATTTAGTTCTAGGCTCACAATGTCTTAATATTATATTAATATTACATATTTATAATATATATTCTATGCAACAAAACATTTTAATGTGTAGAACAAGATGTTTTGAGGCCAACTTGAAAACAGTTCACCCGCAATTTCCCCATACAACTCCAACTTTAACGGACATGAGAGATAGCCACGCAAGCCCAGGTTTATGCATTCTGCTAGAACGGTAAAAATTCATTGTTTGACAAACTCTAATTTACAGCAGTCATGAGGAAACTATAAATATGTTAGTATTTGATTAACAAAACTAATCTGCAATATGAGAGAACCAGGAATGTGTAGTATTTGAAATTATACAAATAATTCCCAACATGATAAACTAGGAATGTGCCAGTATTGGAATAATACAACTAATTAACAATAGGAGAAATCTCAAAATATTTCAGTTTGTGAAAAATTCATTCAAAATATTAGAGAACTAAAACTGCTGATAGAGAAGACTGGTGACCTCTCTGGCAAACCTCTACACTCCAAGGTAGAAGAGGAGCACCTAAGTAAGTATAAGAAAACTAGAAATATGGCAGTAATAATACAACAAATAAACAATATAAGAAAACTTTACATGTTACAGACCACTAAATGATACCCACCCAAACCATAATTAGGTTTTGTCAATAGTTATTTAAAAAAAAGTGTAACTAAGATATATTATTTTCAATGTTCATTTTTTTTTTTTTTCACTTTTAACATTTGCTAGGGAAAGCAGGAAACCACTAAAGACTTTTTTCTTTTCAAAGTAAAGGACCTTTTCCCAAGCCTTCAAACATGTTTGACATAAAGGGCTAGACTTATATTCTACAGACTAATCGGCACGTGGCAGAAAGATATGGGACGAAAGTTGAATGCATTCAAAACAAATGACTTAAGAAACTGATAAACATTAAACTGGATGAATTCAAGAAGGGCGAAGTAAAAGCAACCTTTTCCCCCTGCCTTCAGGCATACTGGGCTTATAGGGCTAGGCTTACATTTTTTAGAACAATTGGCACTCGGTAGGCAACATGGTCAGCATCACCCAAGCCACCTTTACCACCCAGGACTTTACCTGGTACCCACTCAAGGCTGGGTCAACCCGACAGCCAAAGTCATTTTTTTTTTAAATCTGGCTTCGTTTATGATTCGAACCCAAGAACTTTAAATCCTTGAGTGTCTAGATGCTACACCTAGGTGGCTCCCAAGAAGGGCGATGAAAAAAGATGAAAGTCTGTACAACTGCAGGTATCAACATTTATAAGATGAAAAAGATAGTGCTACACTGAGCACATCCTGAGGACTGAAATGACAAGGCAGATGTGGTCAAAGCCCTTTGGGAACAAGCAATGGAATCAGTAGAGAAACAAGATTAATATGGCCTGGAGAGAATGAGGTACCTGGGTGTAACCAAAGGGTCTGGCTACATTCGAGGAAAGGCAAGATGGACATATAATCAGATTGTGACTTGTACTATCAGTATTGTAACTCTGCGCTGGCTGTTGAAGATTGGAACAGAGCACGCACGGAATGCCTTGAGTGCTGTGATGTTAATTCTTGACTCGATTCAAAGTGTCCTCTTGTCTCTCGACTTCTTTCGATGAGTACCACTCAATTCATGTCTATTTGTTTATTAGGTTTTCTGTGTCTTTGTCTTATCCAGTGTCTAACAGAATAATTCAACCATTTCTACAATATTATGACACCACGAAAAAACTACTTTGTCAGTCAAAGCAGAAACCACAAATATTACCATAACTCCCCACCACAACTATAGTCAAGTGAAAATAATACCTTGAAGTGACTTATAATTTGCTAAATGTAAGGCTAAGAAATGCCAAAAGTACATGGAAAGAAATTTGAGAGCTGCAGCAATAACATTTCTCAGATTGTACATTTATTCCAAAAGGAAAAACAATATGTCCGGTTTAACGTGGTAAGCATTTTACAAAATGAAGAATGTTTTATGCAATCTTTCTCTGTCAACTAAGACGAGAAAGACAATTCTTAAAAGCTATATAAATCCTATCCCGATATATGGAAACGAAACAAGAACAGCTGGTAGATAAGTGAAAAATTATTTGGAAGCTGCGGATATGTGGTTTTATAGATAAAGGATGAGAATACTCTGCACAGATAAACAGTTACGAAGATGTCTTGAAAGAAACTGACAAATGAAAGGAAGTGACTACCCACAACAGACAATCTATATTCTTTGGTCATGTGATGAGAAGGAGAAAACATTGTACATCATGACAGCAGGAAAGTTGGAGGGGAAGAGAGGCAGAGGGAGACAGAGAGAACAGGTGCTGGACAGTCCGACATCATGGCATGGAGGATCATCTGTGTCACAGCTGACTGAAAGTACATGAGACAGGCGGTTTTAGATAGACATGACTACCAATGCCACACGGCATGGACTATAAAAAGAAGAACTTGGCACATTCTTTTTGTTCTTCTTCATTCATGTTTCACATTTAACTGCATTGTGCCTGTTTTTATAACATTGAAAATCTTCAGGAATTTGTGGATCTGGTTAGCCATTCTAAGAATTTACTTTTCAATTCAATCATACTGCCATTCTAGTGAATCCGTAATTCCCAAGCCTTACAAATGACAGCAAGCCTCACCTTAACAGCAAATATGAACCAAGTGTAAATGGCTGTATTAAAATATATAATAAGATATGATGGTGGTAAATTCTTACCATCACACTATGTCAGCAATTAACTTCCATTAAATTATACCCATTATATTCAACAGACAAAAACACCTCTTCTAGCTAAGAAAATATAAACCTGAGCTTGCACTTAAAATAAAATAAAAAAATAATTTTATGACGAAAAGAAAAGAAACAAATAAATATAACGAGTGATAACACTGTAATTTAGCTTATCTGGCACAAACAAGCGTACACACCCTCCTCACTGGATGATTGTTTGGGGCGCCCAGTTGGCTGATACTTCAGCTGAACTTTCCGGTTTATACCAGAAAAATGGCCATACCTGTGTAGTAACGACCGATAAGTAAAATCACAAATATGCCACAGTGTCAAAGAAAGAAAATCTCACAAGCGACTTGGCGAACTTGCTCACCAAAGTGGAAAATACAGGTATGTTTAACATTTTTTAATATTTCATAAATCTTCTTTTTCTTGTGCGTTCATCTGATGAAGCAACTGCGTTGTGCTCATTCACAACATGGCTGTGGATTTTTGCTTTTTGGTCGAAACAATTGACTTCTTCTGGTCAGGATTAGCCTTTCCGAAAATATATCAAAAACAGATAACAGTAATTCTTTTTTTCTAAATCACACACAAAATATATTACTGTTGTAAATCTGAACGAATAAGACAGAAACAACAGATGTACAATTTAATGTCTGCCCCCATTTTGCTGCTAAAAGGATTTACTTGCTGGTTTTACTTTTTGTTTAATACATAGTGTGCAGCTTATGCGATAATGCTGAATGGTACAGCAATAAATTGTGTGCAATTTATTTTTTGCGTCTTATTGTTCAAAAGTAATAATTTTGCTCTAAGTAGGTTGTTAAGCACAACATATAATGTAAGCATCACATATCTAATGTAACAGTCAGTAACCACTACAAAACAGAACACACCAGTTAGAATGAAGTCCCAAAGAGAAACAATGTAAAAAAAAGAGAGAAACTCAGCTTGTCATACATGATAAAGATACTTTAATAAGTTTCTAAACACTGAAGCCTCCCTTCTTTAACAAGAAATAGCTTTAACAGTAGTAAAGCTATAAATAAAAAACACAAAGTGTAAGCCAACTTAATAAATATCTGAAAAGGGTGAGATCAAAACCACATATTTCATGTAATCCTTCCTAAGTTTTATTTCAAAATGACCTTGGCTCCCAGGTCGGCCCAGCCTTGAGTGGGTACAGGTGCAGTCATGGGAAGTAAAGGCAGCTGGCATTCTGCTGACCACATCACCCACCTATTGTTGATCAGTCTATAAAATATAGGTCTAGCCCCTATAAGCCCAATACACGTGCAAAAGGGTGTTATTTTCCTTTAAATCACAGTCGTCATCATCATCATCATCACGATCATCCTGTAGCAGGTCCTTTGCAGAATGTTGCTCTCATCACGGTCTGCCTGAAAAAAAACTAGTTTCATTCGCCAGCTCTCATTCCTCATGTACTTTCAGACTCAAGGAGTCACTTATATCCTGTGCCCATCTTCGTGTTGGTTGGCCCCTGTCCCTCCTTCCTGGTACCATGCCTTCTGCTACTATTTTTTCCAATCTGTCGTAGCGCGTGATATGACCAAAATATTTCAGCTTCTGAGACAGGATGCTGTTTATTAGTCAATCTTCCTTGATGTTCAGATCTTTCAAGATGTCAGCATTTCTCCTCTTCTTTAGCCCAGAATCTTTCTGAGAATCTTTCTATAGCATTTCAGCTTAAAAGCCCCTATTCTAGTCCTCAGCATACCAGTGTATTATTTATATGGCTGGCTGCTTTAAAACAATTCTTGTGACTTTTGTATAGCAGTACGAGAGTCATGCTGTGGAAAAGACCGGAAAATTCTTATATACTTTTCACAAGACAGCAGCCAATCTCCATTCTGAAGAGAGAAAAGGGCTGACATACACTTTGTGTTATCTTATGTTTTGCTTATACAACAAGGAAAACATTAGGACAAAAATAAACATGTAGTAAACACACTGTTTCTGCTTGGGATCTTAATAACTGGCCTATTTTTTAAATACTGCTGTAACTTTGTGCAGTCCCTACTTTCATATTTATTTAAGCAATGCATGCTGGGAACTTTCCAAAAAGCATCACAAGACTAAGTAAACTACTGCTAAAGCCTTCAAGCAAATGAAGTTAATTAAGAATGAAAGAAATCAAATCTAGATTTGGTTAGTTAGAAGTGAAGCCAGCTTTGACAAGGTGTCTCCAGAATACTCAGCTGGTTCGGTCTACTCAAATGTTTCAATGTGTGTCTCAGGATAAAACTTCAATACTAAGGCAGTTCATGGTATCAGTGATTGTCAGAAAGAAAAAAAAGCAACATTATTAATGTTTTAATGTGTGTCTTAGAAGGAAAGCCATTATTTCAGAGGCTCAAAAATAAATATTAGAAGAAATGTAAATAAATTTAAAATGCAGTTAAGGAAAACATTCAAAAGGATTTGTTTGTTTGTTTGTTTTAGTATCTAGAAGCCATAAGTTGTTAACCCTTAGGCTCAGTATTATGGATATCGCAACCTTCAGCCTTGATTCCATTGTCAATACCGTAAATCTGGGAGAAATGTGGCTTTTCTGCCTACCACCGGGAGTGAACTGGGACCACAAGGAGTTCATCACCTGGTCACCCCGCAATCCGGTTTAGCCAACTACGCTAGAGAGCCGGGCTAAAAAGGATTTAAGAAAGTGATGTCTTATTAGGAGTTGCCAAAAAATATATTGGTGGCAAAGTGACTAAATGCTCGCTTGCCTGCCTGAAGGCCTTGGGGTCGAACCGGCATAGAGTCAAGACTTTTCAAAAGTGATCTTGATGATTTTAGCTCCCAGGTCAACCCAGTCTAAAATGGGTACTAAGTAAAGCCCCCTGAGAAACAAAGGGGGTCAGCTTGATGCTGGCCACAATAAACACCGGGTGCTTACTGGTCTACACAAAAATAAAATCCAACATCATTTGTCTGATGTGCTGCCCATGAAGTGAAAAGTGTCATTACTTTATTTCTCACAACGCCGATTTAAACTGTACCACGCCCGTCTCTCTAGTCTAGTTGGCTAAACCGGATTGCGCGGTGAGCGGGTGACGAACTCCTTGTGGTCCGGGTTTACTCCCGGGGGTGGGCAGAAAAGCCACATTTTCTCCCAGATTTACGGTATTTACAAAGGAATCAAGGCCAAAAGGTTGCGATATCCATAATACCGAGCCTAAGGGTTAACAACTCATGGCTTCTGGATACTAAAACAAACAAACAAACTGTACCATTAATTCAGTTATCTGTATCACAACACTTCATTCTCAAAACCATATTAGTTGGGAGATTAATTTTTGTTGCCCATGATATCATTCATCATCGTCTTGTAATGCCATGATATGATACATAAGGCTACCAGTCTATTTCCTTCACTGTTCTATCCTGCAGAAAGTTTTCAATATCATGGATGGAATGCAGTCCAGAGCTGTGGCTTCTGTCATATACATCAGTTTTAGGATTTCTTTTGGACATCCTTGATTCCTCAATTATTTTATTTCTCATTTTAGAGCCTGCTTGGTGATTTAGTGCTTGTTTCTCACATGATGCGTCCAATTTAGTGCCAGCCATCTTCTTTGTCCGGCGTGATGCTGACCACATCACCAATCTTGTGCCGTTGGTCTATAAAAATATAGGTCTAACCCTATATGCCCTATACGCCTAAAGGCGTGGAAAGGGTCCTTTACTTTTTTACTTTTTACATCTTCTTTGTCTTATGAATGTTATTACCAGTGGTTGCTCAGATACTGATCTAAAGAGGATACCAAAACATTTCATGGGAAGTAAAGGTGGCCAGCATGAGATGCATCACATCATCCAGAGAGCTGCAATTGCTATCTAAACATACGACGCTAGCACCACCTATTCAATATGCCCCCCCCCCCCCCCCCCCCCCCAATGTTTAATTGTCATTTTCTGTGCATTCTTGTTCAGCATTCACCCTTAACAAGGTGTTGGCGTATTGTGGTGTGGTTTACAGCTAAACTGCAAATATCTGCACCTTTCAGGCAATCATCCAATTTCAGCAAACCCCTAATTAGACACGCTTCTTATGGGAGCAATGGTCTGTTCATTGTTCCCCAAATTTGGCCCCAGAACCCACATGGGGAAACTACACATTCAGCAAACAACTGTGAAATATGCCCTATTGTCCTCACATCTTCAGAAGAAACTAAACAGATCTATCTCTTCACTGCTTCACACAGACAAGTCACAAGATTCCTTCACAATATAATTAACAGTATAAACAGAAGTAATATATAATTTGGCATGTATGAACAAATTTAGAAGACAGCCAACCCTGTCATGCACAAGTTTCAGCAATAAAACAATGGCAAAACAGAAATGACAGGAAGAGTTTTCAGACCCAAGTTCAGTTTAGGACAAGTCTTCGGACCCATTTTCATTTTATGATGAGTTTTTAGACCTATCTTCCTTTTAGAACCAGTATCTAGAGTCAGTGGTGGCACAGCAACCAGATGCCCACCTCCTGTCTGAATGTCTGGAGTTCAAAAAAGACCTTGGCTTCCCCCGTCAACCCAGCCTAAAATGGGTATCAGGAACAATCCTGGAAAGTAAAGGTGGCCGGTGTGACGCTGCCCACGTCACCCAATAAGTGCTGATTGGCCCAGCAACCAGATGCCCCCCTCCTGTCTGAATGACTGGAGTTCAAAAATGACCTTGGCTTCCCCCGTCAACCCAGCCTAAAATGGGTATCAGGAACAATCCTGGAAAGTAAAGGTGGCCGGTGTGCCCACGTCACCCACTGAGTGTCGATTGGTACATAAAAACATGGTCTAGCAGCATATGCCCGATGTGCCACTGGTGCAAAGAGCCTCCTTTACCTACAATAATTTGGAGCCATTGGGGTGTAGCGGCCTGACACTCAACTGCAGATCTGATGGTCATGGGTTCATGTCTTGATGGAGCCAGACATTCAAAAATGAAAAAAACCTTGGCTACCCAGGTCGACCCAGTCTCTAACAGGTACCAGGTAAAGTCATAAGAAGTAAAGGCGGCCGGCGTCATGCTGACCACATTACCCACTGAGTGTTGAGTGGTCAATAAAGCATAGGTCTAGCCCTATATCCCAACATGCTTGAAGGTGTGGAAAAGGGTGCTTCACTTACTTACTTGGTTTAGACCCATGTTCATTTCCCTACCATGAAATGGGTTCTCAGCAGTGCTAAACCCAACCACATCTGAAGATACCTTGGCAAATTCTACAGGCACTCCCTGAATTATCGTGGGTGACCAAAA